TTAACAAGAAATTTGAGTTACATAGGAATTCACTCCCAAGAAACTTACACAACTTATGAATACACAGAGATGAATTAGAATGACAGGATTCAGGACACTGTGTGAACTAGAATACTTTGCAATTTAAATTGAGAGAGAGCAACACAGATTTAAATCAGCTGATACATAATTTCCCAGTTTGGACTGGGACATGACAGAGTGGAAAATATTCTTATACTCATGCAAATAAGTATGCATGTTAATGGTTATGGGGTCATAAATTTAGGTTTATACATCATCTACATGGCACTTCCTTTACCAACAGCATATAGATCCCTAATGCAGCACTAAGATAAGACATCATTTCACTGTTAATTCTGTGCAGTGTCATGTGCTACTCTACTTTTCTATCATGGTTATGTGGTGTCAAGAGCCGATGCCAGGGGGCACATGTGAACTACAAAAACCAGAAGAGACCATGGCTCTGACAACACCTATGCAGCCAGGCAGAAGTAGGAACAGCCAGGGACCACAAACCTGCCCTGTATATACATCAGAAGATGCAAATGAGGAGGCACAACTGGACAATTAACTTGACAAAAAAACAGTAAGGACTGTTTTCCTGTTCTGAGAAAGGGAAGAGTTTAGAAAGCAGTAGGTGAACTTTGGAGCAAACCACTGCTGTACTCCTAAGGGCACGGTGACTACATGCTTCACTGTCCTTTGGGACTTGCAAAAAATTACAATTTGGCTCTCAAGAGAGAAGGCTGAGACCCACTGAGTCACCAGTGACACTTTCTGCATGGTTTTGGATTTGTCTTGAGGAGCCTCCCTTCCAGCTATGCAGTAAGCATCATTTCCACCAGACAGAGGTGATTCAGAACCCATAACACAAAATCTTTTTCCAAGTGGTGGAGAACTATTTCTGAATGAGTTATTGTTTGAATAGCTTTTAGTGCCACATCTGAATTTTTAATCAATTCAAATTCTAGTGACAAGTGTTCAGCAAGAAGCACCAAGCCATGAAACCTCTTTCCAAGTCACTAATAGTTGGTGTGACTTCCATTTCCTCCCTAGCTTACTCTCTTCATCGCTCTCTTTTTTCAGAATTATGATTTTTTTTGGGAAAAAAAAAATAATTAGAAATATATATATACATATGGTTGCAGAGAATGAGGTATCCCTTATATTTCTTCATTTTATTTTCTATAATAAACAGGAGCCTGATCAGGACACTTCAGAATATAGTTAATAACAAGTCCTAGCAGTGGCAATATTATACATACGCTCATCTGAGAGAAATTCTGAAATGTTTTATTTTGGTTATGAGACAACATGCAGCAGAAAATACCTCTGATTTTTTATCATCCTAAGTTAATGAGATGCAGACTGATAAGCCAAAGATGAAAGATTCCGTAAAACTCCTTACACTCATCCTAGATTGCAAACATTTCAGTCAAGGTTGCTCTATAGATCTGTCCATAGTTTTCCTGTCTTCCTATAGCCTGTTAAAAGTCTCCAAGTGTGACTACGCAAAGACGTAACTAACCAGAATACCAATACAGCTGTGAAAGATCCTGTAGACTGCTCTGTAATTAGAAACATTTTGCCCAACCTCTTCCTTGTAACTAAGTTCATCATAAGTAATGAAAATATTCATGTTACATACACACATAGCTCTTGTTTCTTTCTGACCCATTTTCAGACCTAGCACTTTGAATTTTTCTTAGTCTCCTGCTCCATATTTTAGAGATTGCTCTATAAATAAAGTTAGTTACTAAACCTTACCTTTCAAAAAAGTGACAAGATGTGTTCTACAGCAACATTTTCTAGTTTTCTCATCACAAGACATGTAAGGCCTTTAGCTATCATGTATACCTTCTTTATCTGGAAGTGAGACTGCAGCTGCTTGGAGAATTCAGTCTTGGACCGACTCTGTCCCTACAATAGAGATAAAAATAAAGAACTAATTGTAGTGGGGGATGCTGGATGCTGCCTACTGCACTCAAAATGTCATTAATGTGCACCTGCAGCCCAGAAAGCCAACCATATCTTGGGCTGCATCAAAAGAAGCGTGGCCAGCAGCTCCAGGGAGATGATTCTCCCCTCTACTCCACTCTTGAGAGATCGCACCCGGAGTAGTGCATCCAGTTCTGGAGCTGTAACACAAGAAGGACGTGGAGCTGTTGCAGCGAGTCTGAAGGAGGGCCACAAATATGATGAGAGAGCTGCAGGACCTATGAAGACAGGTTGAGAGAGTTGGGACTGTTCAGCCTGGAGAAGAAAGGGCTCCAGGGACACCTTATAGCAGCCCTCCAGTACTTGAAGGGGCTACAGGAAAGCCAGGGAGGGTCTTTTCATAAGGGCTTGTAGTGACAGAACAACAGGCAATGGCTTTAAACTGGAAGAGGGGAGATTTAGGTCAGATATTAGGAAGAAATTATTTTGTTTGTGTGAGGGTGGTGAGACACTGAAAGAGGTTGCCAAGGTAAGTTGTGCATGACCCCTCCCTGGCAGTGGTCAAGGTCAGGTTCTTTGCTTTGAGCAACCTGGTCTAGTGGGAAGTGTCCCTGCCCATGCAGGGGGTTGGAACTAGATGGTCTTTAAGGTCTCTTCCAAGCCAAACCATTCTGTGATTCTATGATCATAATTTCTCTTTTTATACCCTACAGCCAGATGCAGTTGGTGAGCAAACAGTGCCTACTTACACCTGGTTCACAAGATCCCATCAGGAGAAAGCCTGAGGTAGTTCCTTGCAGGATTGCATGAGTTTTATCCTTTGCAGGAAATAGAAGGAAGGGGGAACTGCAGGCAGAAGTGAAGGTTGGTAACTTCATACACATATTTCATGAGACTTGCTAAATTTGCTATATGCTCTGGGTGAGCTATGTCAGAAGTATTTCTCCTTAAGGCAGCTTAATTTTTTTGGAAGCCAGCTCAACCCATACCTAGATTAATTTATTTGAAAGTTATGACTAGCTGCTACCTCAGAGCAAATGTGAGTGCTTTCTTGATAAAGATGGTGCAAACAGGAAAGGTCTGCTCTGCACATTATGAAGACTGTGTGGATGATTCATCAACAGCCCTTGACGGATGCCCTGTTACACCTGACAGTGTGACTGACTACTTCGGAATGAATAATAGGTTAAAAAAACCCAAAACCTCTCAAGAGTTATGGCTTCGGCAATACTTTCTATTAATATTATATAGAAGCTGCCAAATCCTTTCTTGAAGTAAATGACAGGGGGTATCCCAGCAGATCCACTTTGGCTGTTGGGAGTGTCTCACATGCCGTGAAGCCATGCACGAGCGAGTGGCTGCCAGGAGCACGCTCAGCTCCGTGTAGCTCAGCTTCTATCATCTGCAAAAAGGGACTGATGTCCAAGTGTCCTTGTGTTTAATACCACAAAAGGGCAGTGGTGATGAAAGTCCTTATTAATGCAGGCAACATTGACAACGACCGTGAGGGAATGCAAACTGGCTACCAGCTTTCTGCCCCGAGCTCTTACAGAGGTCACCAACTGTCCTCTTTACATACATTTTCTTAGATGGGTATCTTTGCGTTTTCTAGCCCACCTGGCTCATCCACAGCTGCTGGCGTCGAGCTGCAACGACACCGCTCTGCCTTTCCCCCGTGGGGGCGGTCACCTCCCACCGACGGGCGGCATGTTCCCTGCAGCTGAGGGGCCTGGGCCCCCTCG